GCAATCCATTTAAAGTAACACTGGCATCTTTGAAAATGTCTGTGCAGCCTTCCGTTTCTCTAGGAGGCTTTGAGATCACACCACCAGGAGTTTTGCAGTTGAAATGTGGTTCGGGACCTGTACGTGTGAGTGGCCAGCACCTAGTAGCACTGGAGGAAGATGCAGAATCAGATGATGAAGAGGAGGATGATAGGAAACTCTGAAATATGTCTGGCAAACGATCTGCTCCTGGAGTTGCTAGCAAGGTTGCACAGAAAAAGGTAAAACTGTCTGAAGAAGATGAAGATGATGATGATGATGATGACTTTGAAGATGAGGAAAGTGAAGAAAAGACCCCTGTTTGTGATACTGCAGCAAAAAATGCACAAAAATCAAACCCGAATGGAAAAGACTCAAAGCCATCCACGTTAGTAAAATCTGAAACAACAACCAGCTCCAGTGAGTGAGTGAAGGAAAGTCGTGACTACACTTCTCGCGAGAGAAGTGAGCACAGCGTACTTTAGTAGCATGTAGGCACTGGTTCAGACATAGAATCAACTTTTAAACCATCAGTAAGATTCATGCTCCACCCATCAGGGCTACTATTGGTCTAGTTCATCTGAGTTACACCCTTCCTGGACAGCCCATCAAGTGTTCCTCCATGTTTTCTGTTATCTCTGCCCGCTTCATGAGTCCCATGGTAAAAAATGGCGGCTATCTCCGCCCTTGGGGTGTGTCAGCTAATATTCAGTAAGCTTATTAAGCAAGCACAGTGGAGAAAAGCCTTTCCCTGGTGGAAGCCCCATCCTGGAACCTCCCGAGTTGCAACCAGTTTAGCCTCCAGGGCTTTTTCTTAAGGAACTAGTTGTTTGCTCTACTTTCTGATTGGTCGAGGGACTCTCCACTTGGGTAGATCTTGGAATTTCTTATCCTGTTGTGGAAGCCTAACCCCCTAAACTCCTTCTTACAGTCCACGCCAAAATCAAAAGGTCAAGAATCCTTTGAAAAGCAGGACAAGACTCCCAAGACTCCCAAAGAACCCACTTCTCTAGAAGATACTAAAGCAAAAATGCAGGCAAGCATCGAAAAGGGTAGTTCCCTCCCCAAGTGGAAGGCAAATTCATCAGCTGTATATGCTTCTGTATGTCTGATCAGGAGGCTATTCGAGAGCTCTGACTGTGGAGGAAATCTCTTTAAGAAAATAAGTTTGAACAATTTGTTAAAATTTCTGTCTTATTTCTGTAACAGTTGATATTTGACTGCCCTTTTCATAACGCAGAGAACTTTCCCACCTGTGTCTGATAGATATCGTCCAGATTACTTTGCCAAGAATGTGTTGTCCAGGCTCAGATTCTTAAAATCTAGCCAATAGCTTACTAATGTTCAGACTCCTTAAGAGTCTGCCCAATGGATGTTCTAATAAACCTTGTGTTTGGCCGAAAAAAGGCTTGTGTCGAATTCTTTCGGGCAGGATTCGTTTGTTGTGATTTTTGGGGTCCCAGCATCCATAAACCTCTAAACAGCATCATTTTGGTAGCCCATACAGGGAAACTGCCCAGCCCCAAGTTCTTCTTCAGCCAAGACTGGAAGGTATGTAAGCCTCCCCTCTCCCCTCCTTTCTTGCGCTGCAGTTGGGGTCCCTCTCCAAGCACCAAGGCTTGGAGGTGCTTTTCGGGCAGACAGTTAGGAGGCTGTCTCTCACTTGGCCTGACACTCTCAGGCTCTCGGTCCACTGGGTCAGTTCAAGGCCATGGACCTGGGTACACCTTCCGCAGCATAGAGGACAAGGACGGATGCCCTATCCGGAAGTGTATGCTCAATTTTTTTAATTCCCTGGGTGCCAGGGAATTGGGGAAAACTGCAGTTGCTTTTTGTTTCCCTGAGGTTTACTTACTCCCTTCCCTCTGCACCTCTGAATCCTCCTTCATGGAGGTTACAGGGAAAGTTAGAACAGCTAAAAGTATCTTGGTAGATTCTGGAGGTTTTGTGATTGATCATTAAAGAGTTTTGAAACACCTGTACAACCTGGTCACTCCCTCCCCTTGAGTCAAGAGGGTATCTGTTAACCCCTCTCATAGGAGAAGAGAGTCTCACCCTTTACCCCTCAGCTTTGATTTCACCCTACCCCACCTGGGAAAGGAAGGAGGGGGGAGGGGCAGCAGCTACAGTGTGGGCCACCCTGGCAATGGCCTCGGGCCCTAGGGCAACCTTTACCTGGAAGCATCACACAGGTTCAGCACATTCTGCTCAAGATAAAGAAGCTGGCCTCTGAACTTGGGTAAGCCTGCTCTTCTTAAAGTTTTAGTTTTAACTGTTAATGATGAGATGTTGATTCTCTGTGTAAAGTATGGCTTGCTGAGAATTTGCAAGTGTATAGAAATCTCTAATGACTGACTTTTTCCACCAGAACAAATTTAAGTTTGAGATATAAATACTGGAAAAGTTTTTCCTAAACTGTGATTAGTGAAACTTGCTGTTTGAGGTCAAAGCTCATAGGATTTTATTTTGATGGATCATAATCCATTGACAATCAATAATCCACTATCTTGAGAGAAATGCCACAAGCTACTCCGAGAATGTGATACTGGTGGGAAGTCAGCATCAGGAAAAGCTGAGAGGACAATTTTAGCCTCAGTCCTCACTATATTGCTTTGAAAGGGAATGTTACCCACCTAGCTACTCCTGAGTCAGTCTATGAGGTGAAGTTGATACTTCATGGTTGGAAAACTGAATTATTTGAATCCAAACAGAGCTAAGGATGTTTCATCCTCTCAAAGTTGGGCCCTAAATCTAGTCCCTGCTTTATATCTGGGCCCTGCAGTCTTTTCTGTCAGATTTGTGTCTTCCAGACTACAGGTCATTCATCTACAGTTGGTAACAACAGGTATCAGCCAATGCGCAACCCCCCAAGCCCTACATCAGTCCCTGGATGCAGCCTGTGCTTGTTTCTAGTCAGCCTCCTCTTTGGGACCCCCTTGAGGCAGAGACAGCACTACGCCCCTTGCCAGCAGGAAGCAGTTTCAGAAGCTGAGACCTTCACCCTTTACTCGAAAAGAATTTGGGTCCCATTTGTTTGAGGGAGGAATGGTGGGGTTGGGATCTGGGCCCTAGAAAGGAGAAACCCTGGACTTTTTGTCTTGGCCAAATCTCTGGCATTTGCCTGAGGCTATAATCCTATGAACTGGCCTTTCATTGTGGCTATACCCAATCTCCCAATTCTGTTAATCTAGCCTGGCCTTCCTTTGTTTTACCTCCCCATGTAGTCCCCTGGCCATTTCCCACCCTTAGTCCTAGCTGGGCTCCATTCTCCCTTGGCCAAGAGGTCCAGGTCCCAGGAGTCCTGTTAACCCCAGTTTACTGGCCACTCCTAGGTCCCTCCCACAGTCTTTCTGTATATAAGGTCCACCTTGTCTCCATTAAGATGCTCAGATTCCTAAAATCCAGCCAATAGCTTACTGATGTTCAGACTCCCCAATGGATTTTCTAATAAACCTTGTCTTTGGTCGGAAAAAAAAAGAATGAGTTGTCCAAAATGCCTGTTTAGTTTTCAAAGATGCTTCGGTTTTTAAAGCTACTAATGCTCCACCAGTTGTGGAGACATAATTTAAAAATCATTGGACTCCTTGAAACTCATGACTTCTTTTGAGGAAAAAAAAAGAGTATGAACATTATATTTCAAGAAATCACAGGTGAAAATTGCTCAGATCTTTTATTAGAAACAGAGGGCAAAATGAAGAATCTGCTGATCACCTCCTGAAAGAAATCCCAAAAAGAAAAGTGTCACTAATATCATAACTAAAACCCAAAGCTTCTATATCTAAGAAAAAATAGAGCAATCATCCAAAAAGGAGATCAAGTACTAAGGATCTATAGTCAGGATCACATAAAATGCAGCAGCTTCTTCTACAAATAAGAAACCTTGGAAGGCAACATTACCAACAAAAATTATGCAGTATTTTTACTTCTGCTACCTTATTATCTCAAATCCTATAGTATAAGAAATAAGTAGATGCTTTGAAAAAGCTGGTGAATATCAAAATCTCAAGGCATTTTGTACAGAGGTGAGACTAAGGCAATTTGCTCTCTGGTAAAATCCCACATTGTGTGGAAAGACCAACTCTTTCCTTGGCCACAATTGCTCATCTGCCCGGAGAACCGCTTGACAGAGGGGGCTGCTGGCTTCCCACAGGTGCTCCCTGAGACTGTAATATATATGACCAGTCAGACTGATAATTCAGATCTTTTTTGTAATCAAAATATTAGTGTTCTTCTATAAATTCTGGGAAAGAGTTGTTGATTCAAACTGCTACCATTTAAAATAATTTACAGATTTGTTATAATGGAACCCCACAGAAATGCAATGTGCTCTTTTTTTCTCCCAAAGAGCATACTGAATGGGGAGTATGTCAGTGTGATAAAGTTTCAACTCAATCAACCAGTCTTCATTTATTAACCAAACTAGAATGGGACAGGCTTTCTAGGGTCTAGGAATGGAGTCAGTCAATGATCTAGCATTTATGAAGCACCTACTATGTGCCAGGCACTATGCCAAGCTCTGTAGACACAAAGAAAGACAAAAATACCAGTTAAAAAAATAGTGTCTGTCTCCAAAAAACTTACATTCTATCAGTGGATACATATATTCTATTTTGCAGACCTGTGATTTCATCTCTGTGTCTGCCTATGGAGATAGCCGTTTTCTGTTACTCAAAATTCTGGATAGTTATTTGGAGTGCTGATAAGTTAACTGCCTTGTGCATGGTCACAAAGCTGGAACTGGAACCTGGCTGTCCCTGACTCCAAGATGGCTTTATCTCACTGTGCCATGTTGCAAATGTGTGTCTGAGTATATAGAAATTTCTATGTATGATATGTCATTTCAACCTGAAAGCCCAGTTCTGAAAGGCCATCTCTGCTTCTTTCACCAAGAACCTTCACATCTTTTCCTATTGACATCTTCTATTCTCATGTACCTGATGAATCAGAACTGAAGAATGGAAATAAGGACAAGAGTCATTCAATATGCTGTGAGCTGAATTTATTAAATAGAGAGTGTAAAGGAGAGCATTAGTGCCTTGGAAGAACGATTCATGTTAATCTAACAAGCTTGGAGCTACCATCTAATGCTCAATAATAGAGGCTGCTAAGTAGGCAGATGGAGACATTGATGAATTTGTAGACTTGTAGATTCATCACGTGGAGAGATCGAGTCAGTATTCCAGGCAAACCTAGTAATCAGAAAATATTGCCTTAGGTTTTACTCCATCAAATTATTTTCAGTGTAATCTGTTCCTGTCACTGATGCTATTAGTAGTTCAAGCTAGTCAGAAGCAATCTCTGTGTATTACAGAAATAGATCTTCACCTAATGATTATGTTGATTTAGATGATGTTTGATAGAGACACATCTATTCTACCTGGTCCTCAAACCATCCTTAAATCCTTGTGATCTCAGAGTCTAGTCCAAGAAAAGTTAGTAGAATAGTCCATAGCACCGTAGCTGAGCATATATGAAGAAGGCTCCAAGATTGCTGAAGCAATCTTGCTTTGTCCATTTCCTCCTGATTTGATAAGTAGATACTTTTCTATTACTCCTTAGTGAAGTTGATGGGCACTAGAACAATCCTTGCTCTGTTAACAGTTTTCTCATCCAGTTTAAGTGTTCGGCTCCCAAGTGGATTTTAGAAACTGGTGTTGGCCAATTTTGTGAAATTGAAACAATTCATGCACAAACCAAACTCTTCTCCCCACCCCCACAATCCACTTTTCTCACTCTCCTATTTTTCCTGCTGTTTCCCCACAGGTAATTTGAGAGCCCTGTGGCAGCCATTAGCCATGGCAGAAAACAAGGTGGTCCAGACCTGTAGTGAAGGTGAGTGATGAGAGTGGGTAGAGGAGGTGCTATACTGGTACCCAGAAAATGAAAAAGGACTTAAAGGAAAGCCTCCAACATGCTGGGTATATGCCCTATGCATAATGGCAAGGTCAGTAACTGTGCAGAATAAGAGCACAGAGATGAGCTGCAATCCGCACATTTGAGGGGAATGCCCACATCAATGAGATCATAGGTCTACAGAAGTAAAAGGGTATTACAGAATGTCTTGTTGAGAGGAAGGAAATCATTTCTTACTATGCCAGTGCAACTGACATCTCTAAGTGGCTCTTCCTTGTGCTCCTGAGGTTAAGTTGGGTTCTCCCTGCATTGAACCTGATACAGGCACTGGGAAGCTGCCCCTGGGGATGTGAACGCTCAATGAATGGCACCTGGCCTTTCCTTGCATAGGAGGTGACTGAGCTTCTCAGTGGCCAAGTGCCTCCATCTTTCCTTTGTTAAAAATGTTCAGGGAAATTGATCAATGCATGACCCAGCATGAGCTGAGCTGGTGCTACAACCATGTGGCTCCCTCACCCGGGCTCTCTCCACCAGAGCGGGCTCTAAGCCAAATAAAAAACAACAATAATTTATGAAATCTTAGATTAGGGTACACTGGACAGTGCTGCATGCTAGATCTGTCTCTTGTGCCTGAGCACCACAAGCTGAGATGTTGCCCTTTTCTCATGATTGAAAAATGAATCAGTTTTTTTCCCTGTATAATTTCAAATAATATTCAGTTGAATTTTTGAAAAAAACATGAGGCCAGTGTGTAAATGGATCCTGGAGATGGAAGACTGCCCTACTGTAAGACATGCTCTAGCAGGATCCAATCTCTGAGTCTCCCATAGGACAAAAGGAGCGTCAAGTCAAGAAATACTTTTTAAGTATTTGCTATGTGCCTGAGTCTACCCTAAGAGTCAGAGATAAGAAAGGAGGACAGATGATGCTGTGGCTGAGAAACAGTAGGAAGGTCAGTGTGGCTGGATTAAAGCATAGGTGGAGGGGAGTAAAGTGTAACAAAATTGAGAAGTGAGGAAAGAGTTTACTTTGAAGGGCTTTAAAAACCAAATAGAGGATGTTATACTTGATCCTGGACATAATAGGGAACCACTAGAATTTATTAGGATGGGGGAGGGGTTGAACAAACAACATGGTCACAGCTGAGCTTGAGGAATATCCCTTTGATAACTCAATGGAGAATGGACTCAGAAAATCTTTTGCAAGAAAGAAGATGTTCAGATTCTGGCTGGTCGAATTCATTCTGCTATTAAGGGGGCACATCTGATTTTCAATCAGGAGTTTGAACTGTAAAATTCAGTATTCTTTCCCCCACACCATGCCCCGTGCTTTCAGTAAGTACATGTTATCTTTACCTGTATTTACTGAAATCCTCCTTGTGGTGCATTTTGAGCATTTGGAGGATGTCAATCTCTTCCATAATCATCATCATATCCATTATATGGAGGATATCTTCTGCCATGGTGCTTGTAAAAGAAAGAGAAAATAGCAGATGTAAGGTTGGAGCACTCTGGTTCATTTACAGTAACATTGAAAGAATAGGTATATGCAAATGTACTGGGATGGCTAGGTGGCTTAGCAGATGGACTGCTGGGCCTGCAGTTAGGAAGATTCATTTTCCTGAGTTCAAACCTGACCTTACTTACTAGCTATGTGACCCTGGGCAAGTCACTTCACCCTGTTTGCCTCATTTTCCTCATGTGTAAGATGAGCTAGAGAAGAAAATGCAAAGCAGTCCAGTATCTTTGCCAAATAACCCCCAAATGGGGTCATGAAGAGTTGGACATAACTGAAATAACGAAACAACTACAACAACAGCAGAAAGTATAACATGATTAGTACAACTACTCACCCGTGACAGGCTTATTGGGATCACTAGAGTCTCTGGTATCATATCAGCCTGAGCTCTAGAGTAGACCAGATGTATGTATGTATTTGTATTCATTAATACCATTTCATGAAATCTTCCAATCAACTAAACTGAGAGGACTCACTAGTTTATCAACTATGGTTTATTTACTAAACTAAAAAAAATTTATTTCTAAATTATAGTTGCCCTAATCATAATGTTCCTTGATAACAAAAAACATAGCTTAGAAACTTCCCTTCTCCATATTTTTTCACAGATGAAAATTAGAAAAATAAAACCACATGCTTTCCCTGACTCCCTTTGGAGAAAGATGAAAAAAAAAGGCCTTATACTTTCCCTGATTCCATAGGGAGAAGATAATCAAAGACAATAGTTACTCCTGAACTGACTTCTCTGTTCTTATGCATGACAGAGTAGAAAGAATTAAATACCCCTAGAATTAAAAGACCTAGCTTTAAATCCTGCCTCATATTCACTGTCTGTGTGATCTTGGGTGAGTCATTGGATCTCAGTGGGTCTCAGTTTCCTCAGCTGTAAAATGAAGAGATAAGATGAGATGTCCTGTAAGGGTCCTTCTATCTCTAGATTTATGATGCTGGGAAAGGACTAAATTTCATTTAGTCCTTTGAATTTGTTTGAAAATGTCTTACCTCTTCAGATGAATCATCAGCTCCCTTTGGAAAATAAAAATATTAGTAGATTCAGTGATATGACATATTAATAGAAACAAACAAACAAACAACACTTTGGGTTAACTCTCTGGGTTATGGAATGGATTTCCCCTACACTCAGGAAGAGCAGAATTTGGTTCCAAATATGTAGATAAACATTCAGTATCTTCACTTTTGTTTGGGGAAATCTAGATCTTGTCCCTTCTAGGGCAGGAAAAAGCTGGGATTATGAAATGAAGAGTTGTTTAGCTGAGGCTACAGGCACAAGGAAGTTTTCTAGCTTCTCCAGAGACCGATATAGATAGTAAAACAAAACAACAGAAAACAACAAATCAAAATGTACTAATCCAGAGACATGGGAATGCAAATATAAAGCCAAGTCTCCAGATGCTAAAGGACCATTGTTGGAAAGACGGATCGATCGCTCCCAACACCAGCCCCTTCCCCATTTCCCCAAGTACTTACAGCCAGGACAGCCAGAAGAGCCATAAGAAAGGCTACAAGATAGAGCTTCATGGTTCTAGGCTCCTGTGGAATAGAGAGGACAGAAATCCCTGCTGCCTTTAGTCTGTTTTCTGCTTTGTCTTTTCAATGAAGAAGAAGCTTAGGTAAATAAGTTAACTCCCATTTCTATGGTGCCATTGAGGTTTAAAGTGTTTTGATTCCAAGAACCTGATGAGCAAGTGTTATTTATTTTCAGTTTACAGATGAGGGAACTGAGTCTAAAAAACTCAGTTGACTTGTATCTATGTAGCTAATGCTTGTCAGAGCCAGATTGGATGCACGACACAATGTCAAGGACTCATTGCACACAGCACACACTCACAATGTCTATAGTTCTCCTGAAATTTGAGAAACAACATTTAAAAAAATTCAATTTCATTTTATTTTCAGTTCCCAATTCTCTCCCTTTCTCTTCTCCATTCATTTGAGAGAGCAAGAAAACAAAAGCCATCTCACAAATATGTATAGTCATATAAAACAAATTCCCTTAATATTGAAGAAGGAAAGAAAGAAAGAAGGGGAGGAAATAAAGAAGGATGAAATAGAAAAAAATAAAGAGAGAAAGGCAGGAAAGAAGGAATAAAGAAAGAATGAAAGAAAAATGAAAGAAAGGAAGTGAAGGAGGGAGATAGCAAGGGAGGAGCATTAGAAGAATGAAAGAAAGGAAAAAAGGAAGGAGGGAATAAAGAGAAAAGAGGAAAGGAAAGGATATGGGGAGGAAGGAAGGAAGGAACAAGAAAGAAGGTAAGAATGGAAGAAAAGAAACAAAGAGAAGGAAAGAGAGGAAGGAAAGGAGGAAGACAGGAAAGCAGAGAAGGATCCAGGAGGTAGGGAAGAAGGAAGAGATGGAAGCATTTTTCTTTCTGTTTAATGACCCTCAGTTTTTATGACCACCATCATCCATGTCAATTATCCCTATTCACCTGGTATTGAATCAAGGGAACTCAGGAAACACTAAAGTATCCAGATTCACTGGATTGTTCCTTTAAGACTCAGGGGAATATTTCTCTGTCTCCCATGAATTCTGTGCTCAGGAGGCTTAGGTAACAACAACAGCTCACATTTATAGAAGAAAGGAAAAGGATCTTGATTTCAAGGTGTCACTGAGGTGGAGTCCTTCTAGAGGAAGAAACTCAACCAATGCACCTTCCCTGCAACTGAGAGTCCTCCAAAGTTGCCTGGGACCCTGAGAGGTGAAGTGATTTCCCAGGGTCACAGAGCCAGGGTGAGACAGATCAGATTTCCTCAATCGGAGACCAGCTCTTTACTCGTCTTGCCTTGGCTTTCTGTACCTCACAAGTATCTAGTGCTATGAAGGTATTAAGGTATTTACATGAATTATCTCCTTTCATCCTTATGTCAACCTTGCAAGGTAAATGCTACAATGTATTTTACAGATGAGGGAAATGAGTCTCAGAAAAATAAAATTTACATATCTCTAGGTGAGGACTTCAGACCTGTAGAATCACAGCAACAAATCACATTTACAAAGGAATTTACATTTTTCAAAATACTTCTGACATCTACTGAGACAGTCAGGTGGCACAGTGGAGAGACGTGTGACCCTGCAGTCAGGAAGTTCTGTGTTCCTTGGACTTTCATTAGTCTGTGATTCTGGGCAAGTCAATTAACCTCTGCCTCCCTTGGTTTCCTCACCTGTGAAATTAGGATAATAAATTGCACTTCCCTCCTAGGGCTGTTACAAGGATGAAATGAGTAATTCGTGGGGAACTTTGCAAGTTTTAAAATGTCATATAAATACTAGCTATTATGTACTGTCTTATTTGATATCCACAGTAGGGAATAATCAGGAAAAATATTATTACTCACTTTTTAAGGATATTGGAATTGCAATATAATGAAGACCCCCCCCCCCCATAGTAAATGACTGAGTCTGGACTCATACGGGTTTCCTGACTCTGTCAATCAATTGATCAATCAATTTCTCAAGCACTCACTAAGGGCATGGCATTGTGCTGGTGCTAAGTGTAACCAAGACATGAACTGAACAGTTCTTGCCCTCAGGGAGATGACATTCTATCAACAGGAATACCATGTGCACACATGTTCTAAATGTCTTAAAACTGCATTCAAACTATAAATTACAGATGAACTTTAGATAAGCCTTATCAAAAAGAAATAAAAGGCATTTTCTTTGTGGGGCAGGCACTAGGACTTGGGGGATTAGGAAAGGCCTCAGGTGGGAGATGTGACTGATGATGAGCTTTGAAGAAGAAAAGTGAGAGATTCTAAGTAGAAGAGATGAGGAGGAAACACATTCCAGTATCGGAGGACCGCCTTGTGAAGCCATGGAGAAGAGAGATGGAGGGAAGATCTTGTGAAAAGAACAGCAAGAAGGCCAGTTTGGCTGGACTGTATTTCTACATGAAAGCAAGCAGCATATAAGAAGTCTAGAAATTAAGGACTGAGCTGGTTGTGAAAGAGAGGAGTCATATCTTATCCTAGAGCCCCTGGAACTTAAGGACCAGAAGAATGACCTGGGCAGAGCTGTGCCTGAGGAATATCCTACTGTCAGCTGTAGGGAGGATGGATGGGAGAAGGGGTAGGCTAGAGGCAGGGAGAGCAGTGAGGAGGCTACTGTGATCATTCAGGTGAGAGGTGATGAGGGCCAGAGCTCCTCCAGAAGGGAATGGCTCTGCGGGATGTGGCAGGTCCAGGATCATCGAAATCTAGGATCGGATATTTGGGGAGTAGGAGTTGTTATGGATGACGATGAATTTCTCTATCAGGCTAACTGGGAGGATGGGGCTCAAATGGAATAATATTTACAATGTGCATAGCACAGTGACTGACTCACAGCAGGTACTTAATAAATTCTGATTTCTTTCCCTCTCACTGGCCCTCTTTCTCTCTCCTACTCTGACAGAAATAGATAAGTTTAGAATGGGAGTGAACCTGGGGAGGGGGAAAAGATAACAACTTCTTTTTTGGTCCTGAAGAGGTTGAGAAGACTATGGGCCAGCCACTTCCAAATGTCCAATAGCTCACTAGATGGTGATGGGGAACTGGAGTTCAGGAGAGAGAATGTGATATCATTGGTAGAAATTGCAAAGAGGAAACTTTAGTTTTCGTGGAAAGAAAACTATCTGAACAATTAGAGCTATCCAAAAGAAGAATGGTCTGCCGTGATGGGTAGTGAGCCCCATTCCCCTTTGTCACCACCGCCAGCAGACATACAAAGTCTAGATGACCATTTGTAGAATATATTGTTGAGAATATTCTGTTACAGTATGAATCAGATGAGGTACTCCAATGAGGTCCATTCCAACTCTGTTGTTCACTCATTTCAGTCGTGCCTGACTCTTTGTGATCCCATTTGGGGTTTTGTGACAAAGATGCTGGAGCGGTTACCTCCATTTCGTTTTCCAGATCATTTTACAGAGGAGCAAGTGAGGCAAAGAAAGTTAAGTGACTTACCCAGGGTCACACAGCTAGTAAGTGTCTCAGGCCAGATGTGAACTCATGAAGATGAATCTTCCTGACTCTAAGCTCATGCTCTAACATACTTTGATCGCATTAGGACTAATTCTGTTTCCCTTACATCATATTGCCACTCAATCTTTGTAGTTACCTACTCCTAACAAACACATGGCACTTCTCCAAAAGCCAGACAATAATAATAAAAAAAAACTGGAGTTAATTTAATTTTTAAAAAACATGAGTTGGGAACAACAGAAGCCTATACTTGGTAAGCATAGTAAATCTGCTCTGTTTGCCAAACCTAATGATATTGAAGATTCTCCTGGGGCAGACTTGGGGGTGGAAGGAGAAGATCAGGCAAAAGAGCCCAAACAAAATCACATTGGTGGAGGAAAGAAGAGAAGCAAAGGAGAAAGCAGAGGCAGGAGAAATCAGAGGAAGGGGACCTAGAAGAGAGGAGCATCTGGGCAGCAGAGGAGGGGAGTAAGTTAAGCAGATGACCCTCCTTCAATGGGACAACAAGCCATTTCAGGAGAAGACTTCCAAAATTCCTGCATTGAGAAAGAAGGGAGAGGAGCATAAAGTGGTGTGGTGACATTAAAGGAGAAAGCCAATATCTGAGCTTATTTTCAGGGAGAGACAAGCAAAGAGTCAAGTGGAGAACAGTATGCCAGATTGTCCAGTTACCGCAATTTGTTTTTTACTGGTTCTACTTTACTGGATTTGGTACTGTTAATTCCATGACCCTCGTGGTCCCCCTTGCTAACCTATAGTTTATAAAATCTATGTTGCCCTGAGTGATAAATGGGCCATGTTCTCCAACATCTTACCAATTGTGAGGCTTCAGGTGAGTTACTTAAGTTGCCTGAGCCTCTGTTTCCTCATCTGTAAAATGAATTGGCTGGACCACATGGCTTCTGAAGGTTTTACCAATTCCAGATCCATAATTCCATCAAATCTCCCTTTCCCCACACCAAATATGCCTATGTTCAATATTTAAACAGAATCAGCATTTCTCTATAAACCATTATTATGTTACACATTTTATACCTTATTCCTCACATACATTTTCATTGATAAGATGCCCATGCAGTGATGTATTAGAACAAAAAATTACTTGACATATAGGACATATTACCTAAGACAGATGACTGGAAGGTGAGATCTTCTTTCGAGAGAGGATGGGTTTCAGGGTATTTCAGAGCTATTTAAACTCTGCCACCAGTGATATGCTAATTTTTTTTTTATTGTAAATAATGTCAATAGTGACCTTGAATTTTCATCCCTGTGAATGAATATTGATTTTATGCCCATTTTTAGTACCCACCCATGCCAAGAAGTCACTTAACAAGACAAGTTTCACAGTAGACAGTCTCATTGAAGGCTCCAAATTGAAAACTAAAATATCAAATGCTTAATCCTTGTGCTAGTCTGGGCAGACCAAGGTGTAGAGGATGTGATGACTCATAATTGGGATGTAAGTTCTTTAAATGACACAGTTTGTAAGTGTCTGAGGCAGGATTTAAATACAGATCTTGCCAACTCCAATTGAAACACTCTATCAACTATGGCATGTGACCTGTAGATGTGCTGTAGGATGTATTCTTCAGCTTCAGTTTAGTCTAGGTGTCCTTTGGGGCTCTTTCAGCCTGAGATTCTGTGATTCAGTGATCATAGCACTTATTAAGTGTCTGCAATGTACTGGCCAGAGCAAGGCCTACAATTTTGTGCAGCTCTCCCTCATTTAAATACAATTCACACACAAGTCAAGACATCATTCCCATAATGTCATTGGTCCTCTTCAAAAACGATGGACCACCACCATTGCCACCACCAATAACAATAAGCAAACAATGTACAAAGCTGACAGGATGTAAAGCCTCAGTTTGGAATTTAGAATCTGCTTCTATCCCATCTTGGCTGTATCCCTGGGGGGATAGACAACTCTCGATCACTATGCCATCCAGACAAGTTTGGCATCCACATTACTGTAGGGAATTTGCATAGTAGAAATCCCTCATGTCCACAGTGCAGTAGAAAGTAAGAAATTTTTTTTAAAAGAATTGTGTTGCTGCACTGTAGACCAGCAATATAAAAATAAAACTAGCTCTGCTCTCAATTAACCTTTAGTCACCTGTTGGAAGAGAGAGGACTGTACAATATACACAGATAGAGAAACGTAAGGCAATCCGAGGAGGGAAAGAATACTAATGTCTGGAGGTATCAGAAAAAGATTTATTAACAACATAATGTGAGAGGTGAGCCTTCAAGAAAGGTAAGGACCCTTTGAGGTGAGGGCCAAGAAGGATTTATTCATCACTGCATTAAAAGCAAGCAGGATGGTGTGTGGAAACGCATGGAGGTGGGGGATGGGATACTGAGTTTGGTAAACGCCATTAATTCCATTTTGGTTGGATCATAGTGTGTTTGACAGGAGTAATGCAAGAGAGAAAAGGGAGGAAAATTGCCCTGGGGTAAGATTGTGAAAGAAAATGGAATTTGCATTTTAGCCTGACTCTTTTGCTCCATCATTATCTTCACATATGATCTCCCAAGTCTGGGTCTTGCACTCATTTTTCTTCTCTCTACACGCTCCCTCAACGAGAGTCCTCCTCAACTCTCATGATTTCAATTATCACCTTATTGCAGGTGACTTCTACATCTTTACACTCAGTCTTCATCTTTCTCAGAAAGTCTAGCTGTGTGTTGTCAAACGCCTTCTTGGTATCCTCAATGGATGTGCTATAGGGCAGATAGAATCCAAAGTGCCCCAGACTGTCCTCATCACTTTCTACCTTAAGCCTGTCCCTTGTCCCAATTTACTTACTTTTACTAGTGGCACCATCATGCTCCCAGTCACGTTCCTAGCCTCAAAGTAATCCTTTCCTCTGCCCTCTCCCTCACCCCCATATATAACCAACCACGAAACCTTGTTGGCTGAATTTTCACAGCATCTCTGGGATCCACTCCTCTTTTGCATTCATCGCCATCAGCGAAACCTTAGTTTAAGCTTCCTTCACTTTCACCAAAACGATTGCAGTAGCTTCCCAAGCTCTTTATTTGTTTTTATTTTCTATTTTCTCTAATCAGTCAATCACATAACTTCCAAAAGTGACCTTCTTAAGTTTTTTTGAAACGAATAACATCCTCTCCTGCTCAGAAAACATCACTCACTACTCGCTCCTCAGACTAAAATAAAAATTCCATTGCCTTTCACAATTTTACTTCAGTATAATTTTCCCTGCCTTTTCTTCTCAAGCATTCCTCTTCAAGCACACCGTATTCCAAACAAACTGGACATAATAGCATCTCCAAAAGTCAACATTCTGTCTCCCTCCTCCATACATTTGCACACCTTGTCCTGTTTGCTTTTAATGCAATGATAGATAGATTCCCCATTTCCCTCCATTTCAAAGAGTCTTGATCTTTCTTGAAGGCTCAGCTCAGACATAATCTTTTTCTGATCCCTCCAGTCAGACAAGCAGGAAAAAAACCTGGAAAAAGAGGGAGTTGAGTGATATAATTATAGCTCCCTCCACACACATAATCTTCCAATGCATGATTACATAATTTGTAGGAGAAATTATTTCAAATGAAGTTCTCATGTAATTGAAATAAAAATATTTTAAAAATAATTTTCCATTCAGTTAGCATTTCATATCATGGCTATAGACAAATCAACCTTTTCACATTTCATGTTGGTTATTTTTCCCCAAAACAATAATTGAAATGGGTCTTGGGTGATTATCTGGATAAATCTATTTTTAAAAGTCTAGTTAGTATTTCCTATCAGAAGAAATTCAAATGCATTTGAGGATTTAACCAGTAATCAATGATCACTGATGAAGGATATACAGAGCTTTTTCCTTGTGAAATTCACTACGATGCAACATTTCATTGAAAAAACTCAAAAATATTTTTGTCATATATTACAAATGCCATATGCAAAAAACTACTAAATTATAGAGCTGATAGCTGCGCTGAGACATACTTGGGTAAGAAAATTCTCAGGTCAAAAAGAAACTATTTGTAGACTTTTAATCAGTCATTCCACACAGGACAATTATTGTATTTTTATATCTCCTTAGAATGCTTCTCTTATCCTGAGTCTGACTTAAGTTCACCAAGATAGGAGCTAAATGGAAAATGTATGACTATAGGAACCAAGAATAACAAATATTAGAAACAAAAAGAATATTGTAAAAGATATCTTGTTATCTCTCATCAAACACTATATGAATAGGAGGTGATTGGAAAAACTGGCAGACTTGAAAATGCCATAATAATTATCATGAATTAAAAAGGAGCCCTTTTTCCATATTGAAAAAGGACACGCTCTTTCTCAATGCCAACTCTGTACTTTCTTAAGGATGTGCTTTCATTTGCTTGTGGCACACTCCACAAAGAATCATCAGTTCCCAGTAGGTGAACCATTGTTGGCCTATGGAACCCACACCTGACTAGAATTTGGATACTTCCAAATCCCTTTCCTGTTTATTTTCATCCCCAGTGAAGATCAGGATGATCTTTATCACCCAAAATCGATGTTCATGAGAAGTGACTGATACCAGCAAAGAGAGAATTCTTAGTTAATCAGATAGGAGTCTATGGTGACTCTTATTTTCCTGTAAGTGCTGGCTCAATTTCCTGAGGTTCTGGATCACAGGGAGTTTGGATATTGATGCTTGATATTTAGTAGGATTATAGGGAGAGTTCATTGACAATCTGAGGAGAATGAGTCTTTTAACCAGCAATTTGAAGAGAACTAAACTGTTAGCAGACAATCCAAAGGGAGCTCAGTTTGTTTGAGTGACCTTGAGGAAGGGCCTTGCTCCCAAACTTTGGGGGACCACATGAGGGGGCAGAGAGGCAAGATAGAAGCAGGTAATCAAGGAGAGAGAAGAGTGTGACAAAGGAGTTGATTGCAGTGAGACAGGCAGAATCAGAAGGGGGCAACAGGGAGGGGAAGACCACCAAGCAGCTCCTTTCTCCCCTGGTTTTGCAGAGCCCAGAGGTGACTGACTTCTGGTTCAATGGCAGCATTTTGCATTTTATTTAATTGTTTATTCTCTTTTCTTTCTTCTTGGTACTGTTAATAAATTGCTTGGTCACTAGCAGTGAAGTGACTAATTGTATCAGATTGTTGTTTGATGAAAAGGAATCTAGTACATAGTAGAAATCTTATTCCAGAGTAGGGACTGAGCCAATTGGAGGGAATTTTCTCAGTTTTTGAAAAAAATCCAGAGCACTCCCACTAGGTTGCTGTTAAACCAGGTAGGAGAGAATTAATGAGGAAAGAAGCCTCTATCAGAATGAAGAGTAGGGAGTTGTGGTTTTCTCTGGGTGTATGTATCTTTGACAACTTGTATCACACATTTACAGGGAAGCTAGGTGGTGCAGTGGGTAGACTACTGGGTCTGTAGTCAAGGAGTGTCACCTTCATGATGTAAATCTGTCTTCAGACAGTTAACTTGTTGTGTGACACTGGGCAAGTCGCTTAACCCTGTTGGGCTCAATTCCTCATCTGTCAAATGACCTGGAGAAGTACTGATTGAAGTATCATTTTTTTCACTTTATTTATCTTGTTTTTTAGTTTGTTTGTTTTTCTCCCAGCATGGTTAATATGGAAATATGCTTTGAATGGCTTCACATGTATAACTCTTTGACTTCTCAATTGATGGGGGAGGGGTCATAGGAGGGAAAAAATTTAGAATTCAAAAGTTTTTAAATGTTAAAATTAAATTAAATTAAATTAAAAATCCAAAAAAGGAGTGCTCTGATCATCATAATGACCATTCATGATTCCAGAGAGCTAAAGGTGGGCCATTCTGCCCAACTCTTGATGGGGGGAGGGACTCAAGATGCAAGAAGAGACTAATTTTTATATGACCAATGTAGAGATTTGTTTTGCTTTACTACATCTTTTTTCTAACAAGTGCTTTATGTTTATTTTTTCATAATTTGGAGGAGATGGAGGGTGGGATGGAGAGGTGGACTTTTGCTGATTGAAAGAAAACCAAAATTTAATTTAAAATGAACAAAAGCCATTATTGGCATTTTATGCAGGCAAAAGGGTTTAAGTGACTTGCCTAGAGTCACACAGCTAGTAAGTATCTTAGGCTAAATTTGAACTCAGGAATATGAACCTTCCTGACTATCAGGCTCAGCACTCTATCCACTGTGCCACCCAAAAG